ATTCATTGTTCTGCCTAGCCGTATGAGAACTGGCATTATCGTGGTGCAAGATGATACGGCGTTTACGGTTATTTTTACGGAGTTTGTCAATAACTTCCGGCCAACAAATGATCGTGTACCAATCACTATTCACGGTACAACGATTCTCCAAAGCAACAGTAGCGACGTGTCCAGTTTTATTTAAAAAAGAGGCAATCATCTGCTTAGAGGCACTTTGGACGCACGCTACTTTGGTTGGTTTCGGCTCATCTCGAAAGACCCATACGCTCGATTGTTGCTTTGTTTTAGGATCGTAACTATAAATCCATGTTTCGTCACCTGTTACTATGTCCCACACCAAATTTGACGCCCCTTCGTTGAATCTGGTAAGCATGGCGCCACGCCAAGCAACAAGTGACGCGATCCGTTTTTTGAGCCTCAGCACAGCTTTTTCACATCAAATGTTTGTGTAGTATTGATTGTATTTGACTCATGCCTATGCCTAAAGATGCCCGAATCTCATGGTATGGAACATGCCAGTCTGTTTTGATCATACGGCGCACAGCATCGATGTTTTTGTTGTTCACCATCACGAAATTCGTCACTGAGATCCACACGACCGCGTTTGAATCTGCAAACCAGCTGTAAATAGTCATCTTGTATGGTGCTTCATCGCCAAAAGCAAGGTCCGCTGAGCTGTTAATTTACACTTAAAGTCGTAGAAAATCATACTACGAAAATTTTCATGACTTGAATCCATGGTGATGTAGACAACCAATTTGTAAAATGACGCCACAATGTAAAAACAAGTGACAGTCAGATGAAACAAACTGTATTCTACAGCCAAAGAGTTCCGTTTTCAAATGTTGTAATTACTCTTTAAATATTGTTTATGTAAGTCCGGAATCTTACAGAGCGCCCTATGTAATAATAGTAATAATTTATTCTCTCCAATTCACATACAAAGTAAAACATACGTCCAATTAAGGACTAAGCGGGAGATTGGTGCCCAAGCTTGCATCTAACATAGCTTGTATCTTGAAACACCAGGCTTCTCACCCAAAACAATGCTAAATAGTCTTATTTTATACATTAATTGAACTATTTTCGTAGCATATAATAGCAGCTTCTTGTGTCAGAGTTCATCAAGGCAGTACTCCCACCTTACCTATTTCTGCCGCCAAGCCGTAATGTTGAGCGTTACTATTTTCCAGTTTTGTAGGGGTGCTGGTCAAATTACAACCACATAGGACTTGTATATTCTATATGTATTAGTGTATCATCATTTACTTAATAGTATGTGTTCATGTGTATACATTTGATTTATTAAATATATTATTCTAATTATTGAGTAACTAGCATTCAATTTCATGATTTATTAGATTTTCATTCAAAAGTTAGCTGGAAGAAATCCCTTTATGGGATAAGCTCGCCTTTGTACAATAACGTTCAAAAAATTTGTAACTTGTTTTGTTGTACAATAAAGTGTTTACATGCGTACATACCACATATACATTATTAGTGCACATATTAAAATTAAGTTAATATTAATTAATTTCAGTCAAAGTTGGAGTAAAAGTTATATAATCTCAGTGCAGAGTACCAACTAAAAAACCAACCTCAAAAGCCATTCATAGTTTGCCACCCTTAGAAGTGGAACATTTTCTTCAAATTACAAAAAAGCACCCTCAAGCAAACCCTCCAACAAAAAAAGCATCATCAAAATCGGTTCACAAAGTTATCGCGTACATACAAAAAAACACAGTCGATTTAAGAGCCTCCTCCTTTTCTTGACGTCGGTTAAAAATTAAAAAGTAGGATTTCTTAAACCTCATTTATATGCGCGCTCTAATGCCACATATAAAAAAAACGTTATAATTTTTACCGTCAACGGCTGTCAAATAATATTACACTATCAGCAACGACGTGTGGTGCGGAGCATGTAGTTGTCGACATAAGACCGCGGGGGAGTGAGTTCGAGGACCGGCGCAATCAACGCATGTGTTTGTGCCACATACTCTACGTGGGCGATTTTGAACATTATCAATCAATAATACCACGTCCATTATTAGAAATGTTCTCCTATTCTTAATATAGACATGCGATGCACAGTAAATATTATTGCAACATATTACTTACTCATTTCTATATATAGATAATATACAGTGTTTCGGCTTATAGTACATTATGTATTAAATATAATTAGGTGGTAAATAAGAAATTACTAACGAGTTTGTTAGAAGCCTAAAGACGAAGACTGAGGGCTTTAATGACTCGAGGTTTGTAATTGTTACCGGTCGCATACAATGTTTTTCATCACATGAGAGGAAATAGATACAACGAAAATTTATTTCTTGAAGAAGAATAATAATATCGCTTCACAACATGTTCACAACATAACATTTACGAATTTTGCAAATGGCGGGTTTCTTTGTTTTTTTTTTTAAAGAGATTGCCAACTATTCTTCCATAGATATACAATTCGAACTAAAATGTTATAAAATACAGGTTATCGAGCAAAAAGGGACATAGTACGCATGCAGTCACAAAGTATTAGATATAAAATAAATAATTTCCAAATTCTAAAAATACTGCAGAAATTGAATTCATGAAATATATTTAGTAAAATATAAGTAGTTAAAATGCAAATATTTATTTTTGTTTATGGTTCAAGTTTGTGGAAAATATACGTACAGATTTGCCGAGCATAAAACTCTTTCGTTAATCTTGAATTCGATAATGTAGTGAAAAATTCCATGCGCGTAATTTAGGATATTACAGTCGACTATGCCTGCATGATATAACACTGTTTACGAGCAAGTGTGATGAAAAATTTATTTCTTGGAAAAGACATTTTAAAACGTATTAAATGCAAAAAGGACCCTTTGATAAAATAATTAAAAATAGGATACTACGTCACATACACTTTATTATGGCATATAAAATATGAATAAGAGATAATAAAACGCCTATTGAACGTAAATGGTACAATATAATGTACTTAAAGGATAACTTACACAATTGTGGTGGTATTTAAATTACATGATCTGGTAGGTGCCTACTTATCATTAGCAAGTGACACCAAGTGTTGGAAGTGAAATCAGTTGACACGAATGCGGGGGTGGAGATTACTACGCCTCGCACTTTTCTCGTAGTGAAAGGCATATTTTAGTCATATATCTTCTTCTATTGTATCATATTAACACCTATCATCATCATCATCATCATCATCATCTCAGCCAGTTAACACCCACTGCTGGGTATAGGCCTCCTCTTTTGTACGCCAGCTAAATCGATCCTGTGCGAATCGAATCCACAGTCTTCAGGCCACCCCGACGATATTGTCCGACCATCTAGCAGGTGGTCTGCTAAGAGGACGTCTTGCTCCCACCGGGTACCACTCAGTGACCGCCCTGATCCATCAGTCGTCGTCCCGCCTAGCAACGTGTCCTGCCCATCTCCATTTTAGGCTCGCAATCCGCATACCGATGTCACGTCTTGTCTCCTATAGGTACAATAGACTAAATTGACTTAAAGGAATAGAATACAATATCCGTCGTTTATATTTCCCAAAAAGTACAAATTCAGTGTTATTCAATTCTAGAGCGAACCGTTGTCGGGCGCATTGTCGTTTAATATCAAATCGGATTATGGCCACAAGTGCACAATTTTACATAACTTTTGACATAATTTTTTTAACAACAGAATGTAATGAAATTGTTGACTTTTGGTGTAAAGTCCTTAGACTATGGAAACGATCCTCTAAGGTAAAGTCCGTATTTTTGGTTAGCTTGGTCTGTATGATCATTTTGAAGCTGTGACTACATGAAGTTTTTAAACTTTGCAGGGTCATTTTAAACGCATGAACGTATGTTTCTTATCTTTTGCGCGAATTATTTTTCCTTTTTGTATACGTATGTTTATCACAAATTATTTCGCACTAAATACCTAGATACCGGATCATTTTCACAGGACTTATGGAAGGGCTTTCACAAGTATCCTAATAGAATAGTATTTTCATATTAAAATTAAGTATCATTTGTACAATGGCTAGTGCGTTTAAAAGGTATTTCCTCCTACTTGCAAGCGAATTGGGTCAGCGCGTGTTTCTCGGATGTGGGCGACAACCGGTTGTGACACCTAGCTAGCGAATAAACCATAACCAGATGTAGTAATTTTAATAAGCAAGCATGCCTCGGTGCAATTAATTCCATTTAAGTGAGATAAGAATCTCACTGAAATGCAAATTGCAATCTCAAAGAGACTGCAGTTTTGTTCCATTTAATTGCTTTATTAAAATGGACCCCTCTATCTATCTATAGTCATATGTTTTTTAAACATATCTTGTTGCCTAGATGGTATTTACAATATTATAGGTGTTAGAAAAATGTAACCAAATTCGAGCTGTTGATCGTAGGTACTCATTATAATATACAAATTTTAGCATTCAGCGTTTTGGAATCTTCATACAAATACGATTTTTTTTCTATGTTTAACCGAATTCTTTTTTTGCTAGTTTAGAATTTTGAAGTTCCCGTTAAAAAAAGAGAGGTTTTCTAAAGTTGCAAGTTACCATCGCACCTTGATGTTAAGGCCTATCATGTATTCTATACCTAAGTACTGCTGTATTACGCTAAGTAACATAAAGGTACTTTTCTGTAACATTAGTTTATCACAGGTACCTCGTTGTGGAAATGCATAGGTGATTTAATGTCGTCAAAGCAACGACATTGCAGAAGATTTAAATGATAAACCTACTAATTCACGAGTGATTATTTAATATTTCCTGAAACATATGACAATTATCAATTGATTGTATATGTAACAGAATTCCTTATATGGTGTGGTACTCTCGCGCAGGTAATGCATCCCCGATCCGAGAGCGATTATAACGCAACGGAAGCGGCTGAATTTAGACGCGCGCACATCGTCCAACGAGAACCGATGCCGGGGCACGGGGCGCCGAAACTAAATACCCAAAAGCGTTTGTGATCGCGCCAACGGTTGCCAAATATGGCACGAATCTCGGGTTTCGCGCGCCGCGCTGCTGGCACACCACCAGCCTGCAAAAACGCCCTCTATTCCCGTCTAATACTCGTGAAAAACACGTAAAAACAATTTTATTTCTGTAGCGAGCGGCCTCTAAATTTAGGCCGTATGGAAACCGAAAGTAATACGAGCGATTTTGGTTGGGGCCGAGTTGTCTGTATTTAGATTAGAACGGAGCGGGCGCACAGGCGCACAGTGGCCGCGACTCTCGCCTCCGACCTCTACGCGGTTGATAACGCGTTCCCACGTTTCTGCATACCCTACACTCCTCGTGGATAGTGCATTGTGATTCCGGGATACGCGCACCGCGCACTGCGCACTGTGAAACCACAGCGATCAACGTACCACGCACCACGATCAATGCAAAGTGCCGTGTTTCTGTTTACAGTGCTATCATAAAGGATTTGGATGTCACAAATGCTTCCCGAAGGCGGAGGTAAATATTAAGTGGAATGGAAATTTATTGAAAGGATATATTAATCGGTTTTCATTTATAATAAGCATGATGCGTACATTTTGCATACAGAACTTAATGCATTAATTTGTTGAGTTTCTGATTTTTTAAACAACTAGGTACACCCACACAGGCTGTAGATGCTATAGTTGTATCAGTACAGTACAGTATCAGTAGAGTTATACTATTGGCAAAAGGTACAACGTCTGCAAGTATTTGATATTTACTGGAGCAGCAAGTGGACATTGGAGAACCTATAACTTACCATTGCAATAATATAAATGACTGACATTTTTCCTTTGGATTCCATTTGTTCATTATCGTAAAGTTTCTAGTTGCAATGAAACACAGACAATAAAGTATGTCATGTGTACTCACGCTGTCAAATTGTTTGTACAAATCATTCGTAAGAAAACTGGCTTCGAGTAGCGGCTGATTGCCATACTTGGGGAGAGTCGAATTGTCACTTTGGCCAATAATGTTTGCGCCAGAATTTCTTATGTACCGTTCTCTAAACAGAACCTTCGGAATGCTTCAAATTATCACGTCAACAGTTTATAACATGACACACAAGTTGGCCTGCAACAACAGACTGTCCTAGTTATTGGATAGAATTTGATAACGAAATAAAGCCACTAACAAAAGTTATTGTTTACCTACTAAGCATTCGGCATCGTCAACCCATATTAGTCCCGTTTTTAAGCACAAATGTTCTGCGTAGAACGAATTTTCGAGTTCAATGCGGGTTGGGGACTTCGCTACGGTTTTTGTTCTTATCGCACTGTTTTGCTTCGCCATTAACTTTGTGATCATTAGTAACCCAAAAATGAAGCCATTGCCTCCTATTTACAATATTTTAACCATATAATCTGCTTCTTAAAAGACATTTGGGTAGATATCTTTATAAGATAAATTTATTTTTCTAACAGAAAGTGAACTTGTTATTATATAAATTAAGTACTGAAAATTCAGTATACATAGGGCTCTGAGATTGTTTCTATGATGATTTAGTTAGCGGTTTCTTTGATACATTAATAAGTCGTAATCAAGCAGTACGGTAGGTAATAACTAAACAATATTCTAAATGTACTCAGTCCACCATTTGGTATAAGTATTTTATTTTATTGCTTTCGTGACGGTTGGGTTATGTAAACAATAAAAACAATAAAACTATGACCTATTTGTGCATATTTATGTTCGTTACCAGAGATACATATAATGTAATAAATACTATCAGCAATATTGGCGTTCTTTACTTTATTGAATGTTTTTGTAAAATCCATTTGTTTATATTACAAATATTGTAGTCTAATTCAAGCCATTGGTTGACAAGAACAATCAAGTTGCGGGTGGTCGCAACTGACTACCGTGGCCTGCACGCAAAAAGAACCCTTAAAGTGCCTACAGATTTTTTGACGATCAACGTTTCATCAATAAAACGAGTAAATTTATAAACAACAGACGATAGACATCATCGATCGAGATCGGTAAATCGTCATAAAATCAAGCAAATCTGTACGCACCTTTAGATGCTAAGTCGTCAACTTTGGTGATAGTATATTTTGTATCACCAACGAATATTTTGTACGAGTTTAACAGTGGATACTGTTTTAGATATGGGTTTAATTTGTTATCTGGCCCGTGCGTTTACAAACAAATACTTATTTTTGAATACACATTCCACTGAATATTCTCTTTTGACCACAATTTTTTTGGGAAAACTGTCGCCGTCTGTCGTGTCTGCCGCCATAAAAAGAAATTGTGAATTTATTAAATCTTGGAGTTTCATATCTATGAATCAAAATAGCAGTACCTTCAGCAAGCACTGTGTACTCCTGCAAACTATGACCGTTACGACCTCGTTACGACAAACAGTACCTAATTAATACAGAAATCAAATCCCGCTTTATAACTATAAAATTAATATAGAAGAGACACGCTATTTTCGTAACAGGCTAATTTAAAAAAAACCTTTGACTGGAAAATCTAATTTGTCCTCGTGACTCATACGGACCTGATCTGTTGACAGAAATGAATCATCATTCTAATTTATATCCTATTCAATCAGTAAATAAATCAAGATTATGATGTAATTGTCTAAAGCACACACTTGTATTCATTCTTGTATTACAACTGTTGTTATTATTTCATGATAATGTGGTTGACGTCACGAGTAGTTACGTAGAAACACATTACATTGGCGCTTTGCCAACTACCAGATTGATAGCAGACAACGTCACGGGAGTCTGGTGTGCTCCTAATGCAGAACATAACTAACTCCTGCTTATTTTATATTCGTAGTATATAGATTCACCGCGAGACTAGACTATATATTTATATAATAATCTCGCGTATGTATATTCTTTATTGGTTTTGAGAAAAATTAATCCACCCTCTTCTTAGCAAAGATACGTACCATTGAACATTATAGATAGCAAATGCGAACGGAATATTAACACGATAAATAAGCAAAAGCGATTAAATGTACAAAATTAAAGAACCAATTTTGATCTTATTAACTTAAACATAGAAATGAATAATACTTGATTGCGATTTAGCGAAATACCATTTATAGCAAAGCGAAATTTTTGTAAAATTATTTAATCACGAAATAATTATAAGAGACTTCTTATGTTGTATGAACTGGCAAACAGTCAATGACTCAACTCATAAAAAAGAACCAAATGTTTGTTAATAACATTCTAAACAAGCTGCAAACCATATAGACATAATTAAAAGCATCTCATTGTCTGAACTGTACAAAATACCCAAGGATATTCTTCGAATGTATTGCGATAAATAAATGACATAAATGGTATGTTAATAGTATCCTTATATGGAAAATGGAGAACAGAGGCTGAGCGGTAGAGCATGAATCATAAGGCATGCGCGTAGGACGACACAACACAGCATTATTTATTGAGTTTTATAACAAAACATTACCAAAAACAAACCCGAACGTCTATCCGTTACGCAAATATTACTTTGTATAAGTGATCTGGTTCTCAAACGAAACATTTCAATTATAAATAGAATCAAAAATTTTAACATCGCGCAAATATGTATGTGTCTCTACTGGTATGGTTATCAATCCGTTTCAAAGTCGTGTGATTTCAAAAACAAAAAAATATTTTTTTTGTTTTCACCAAATGCCTATAAGCATATAAAAAACCATAATATTAATCAAAAATTATACGTCATCCATCATCAAAGGCAACATGTTTAAACAATTTCCAATTCCGAGATTTCATAATCGCATTTCGGTAGTCGTAAACGTATTGCGAAATTGGTATCGTCTTTTATTTCAGCGTGTGCGCGGGCGCTCCTTTCGCGGTGCTTGCGGATATTTCGGGCCTCCCTCGACCCGCTCGGGTTACAGACCTGTTTACAATATAATTATACTTCAAGTACAATTCATTTCTAAGCCTCAAGGACTGTTCAATTTATTATCTTATCATATCGACGTATTGCCTTGACTATCTACGTAATATTGTTATGAATTTCTGATTTTCATTGAACGACAAATTGTTAGCAAAAATGCATGCTTTCAGCAAATATAAAGTAACCTGTTGGGTAGCAAAAATTTATCCTTACTTGTATTTAAACGTTGTTGGGTTTGGAGCACATAGGAGCTTTCTCTTCTTTATTAATATATTATATCAAAAATAATTTATCAGTTTGTGAAAATTTTGATAGCGTTTCTTGTTAACGTTGTTGTTGTATGGGATAGATTAACGTGCATGTTAAGGATTTGTTTGTGTTGTTTCAGAAGTGATGCGCCGCGCGGCGTGCGGCGAAGTCTGCCCTGCGCTCGCGCCGCCCGCCGCGCCCACTCCAATACATCCAGAGATACAAAATAGGTACAAAACAAAATAATCTGCAACTAGTTTATGGATTTCACGCAAATTATTTCAATTCCACTATGCCACACGTATAGAAATTATTATGAATACAAATAGTCAAAAGAAATTATAGAATTTATATTTACTATTTGGTTTCCTTTCCAGGACATCCGAAAATAAGGAGTTATTACGTCAACAACTCCTGTCAGCGAGCAAAGAGCGTGCAGAGAAATCGGAAACATCGAAACCGAAGCACGCGCGCAATCGTCAAAAAAATCGATGGAAGCTCAAATTTCATCATCAAGCGTTACCGCAAGAATATCTTGATCACTACGAGCAGAGTCTTCAGAAAGCTAACGCTAAACAAGTGGGTTCAAAACAAAAACCACAAGAGAAATCCAAGGCGGAACCCAACTTCAATACAAACAATTTCACGAACGAGACTTTCAAAATATGGGCACAAAGACTAGCGGGAATTCAGAATGAATCAGGGAATTTGACGGTGCCAAGTGTCTCACCGGTGTTAAATATGGCAAATAAGTTGCCCAATAAGACCGATGACAAAAAAAAGAAGCATCCAGCAATTGCTCCAAGTAAAATTGTTACGTACGAGGATTTACCGTACATGGGAGAAATGACATTAAATAACTCGAAGCCACGAAGAGGACGAAAGCCGAAGAAAGCTGATATTTGTCATTTAATTTACGAAAATTACGGGACTGTCGTGCCCGGACAACCGCCTCCTACACAAGACCGCTTAAATCAATTGAGCATGTGTCCCCCATTTCGACCGGACAATACAGTAAGCACACCAAAGACAGATTTACAAAACAAAATAATCACCAGTCTATTGGAACGCAAATTATCGCAGGAAAATAAGAGAAGACTAGAAACTCTGTCTCCGCCCAGGTTTAACAACCCGGACGAACCGATGCCCGAAGCTCCTGTGACCATTGCAGGGCCTCTTCATAGCGACGATGAGCCGCTCAACCTTTGTATACGGGATCTTCACGACTTGAAAATACAGATACAAAAAAAATTTGGTAACATTTATACGTCATTACCTGAGGTAAAGACCGAAATTGATTTAGATAGTTCAGAACAAGGCAGTGTGAAAAGTGAACAACCGAATGCAATTTCCGTAATACAACGTAACACAAATCCACCACCAACTACTGCAAGTAGTTCACCAGATCTGTCGCGGCAGATCAGAAATATATCGCCGGCTTTATCAGAGCCAGCTCAGTCTACTGTTAGCCCTGACAGTGAAGGAAAGTTCCCAGGTTACGTCTATTGGCCAAATGCAGGAATCTACATGCATCCCCTAGCTCTCCAAACACAACTGCTATATTACCAGCGTTTAGCTGCTGGCGGCCAATTACCTATGTCAGTTGAGGATCAGGAAAGAGTTTTATTGACTCCCAAAAGTACAAGCGACAGTGCTTTAACCGAACCCAACTCACCATCCATTGACGACAATAAAAATAAACTCGTCTTAAAACAAATATCGGAGTTATTAGATCCAAAGGTCATTAAACAGGTAGAAGAATCAAAGCGGAGCCCTGATCAAACAAAAATGAAAAGAGCATCGCCCAATCCTAACCAAGCTCCAGTAAAGAGGAAAAGATCAGCAATTTTTATCCCTCCGATGCCAGTCAAAAGCAACTCTACAACTCCTACGACAGAAGTTAGTATTTGTAAATTTAAATTCACCGGAGGGTCCAAACCGTCTTTGCAAGAAAAGAAGATGTTGTCTGTAGACTCAGGGGGCAACTTCAGATATTATAGTGGCACAGGAAATAAAGCAAGCAAAGCCTACGATTACATGCAGAGAGATTCTAACCAAAGCCGAAACACGGACACTTCTATGGAAGCATCGGTATCAGTAGTACCCAAACTCGATGTCCAAAGTACTTCATTAAATAACAAGGAGGACTTAAACAAGAAAAAAAGAAAGTCCAGAAAGAGTTTACAAAGAGAAAAATTAGAACAAACATTTAAAGAAAAAGGTTTTTTAATTCAAACTCAGCAGCTTCAATCAGCTGAAGGTGCAACTTATTGCAAATTTAGACAACTACGAAAGTTTACTCGATATTTGTTTAGGAGCTGGAAGGACTACTTGCCTGGAGAACTGGAAGAGAGGGGAAACGAACAGACCTTACCGCCTGCAGAGCCACAACCGTCTTCCACAAACGACGGGGAGTGGAGTTAATATGATAATAATTGAGCCTAACAGAGAAATATTCCATGTTTATAGAGGCCAAAGATAAAGCAGTAAAATCCCAGCCACTTACGCGCTAGTGGCTGATTAATGCATTTATTGATTATCGTTTCCTTATAGTGAGATTTTACAAATTTAATAAATAACGTTGAAATTGTTCTTTTTTTCGTGTGTTGTTGTCTTTGCTACTCCGTCCAAGGTATACATATTTATTTTTTTCGTTCGATTGCTTTCAGCTTTTGTAATATGTTTTCCCATATTAAGGTTATATAGAATTATTATACGCATAGTTAGTAACAATGATAACAATGTGAGTGCATGTTTTAAAACTTTTGTAAATGTAAATTTTAATATTAAATCACTTAATTATGACTGCCTGGATCACAAGACGGCATCGCAAAAATAGCTGTCAAATTATTAAAGGTATTGTGATTTTTTTATATATGAAACACAGAGATTGGGTTTCGTAAATGTATACGGATTATATAGTTAAGTATGAACTGCAAAAATGTCAAACTCAACGTAGGTTTCAAGTTACAACCCATGGTGCTTTTTTTTTCAAATTGGATGACACGACACTGTTACGAATTATTTTTTGGTTGCGATGTGAAAATAAGACTGATAGCCAGGATACCCCTAATTTTGTTAGTATTGGTTTAACAGACTCATCTACGAAGTTATAATCTTTTATTATGGCTCGTTCAGTTTTATAATGGCGCAGTCTTATTTGTACCGTACTACCAAAACATTTGGACCAAATTCCATATTATTATTGTTCTCATGGAGTGTCTTGTCGTCTTATGTGAAAATGCCATCTCATATTACTCAACTTTTTGCGTTGATCCATATCGACTTAGCCAATTATTTTATTGTAGCTCTTATTACGTCTATAACAACTACTAAACACTAGTCATCTGACCTCTAATATAGGATAATTATATTTGTAATTTTATATTGTACTTATTACATTTACGTAAAAAAGCCATGTACATATTACTGCTGTAATGAGAGTTGTTCTAGTCATTAGACCGTAAGTTTTTATGTCGTTGTTATTAATCAACTTATTGTACGGACATTATGTCAGGGTATGTATTTAAAATTAAACGAATGTCGCAATAATAAACGGTGGATTGTGTATAATAAATTTTATTACAGAAAACTTCACTGTGATAAACATGTGAACATAAACAAAATGCGATCAACGGGAATGTAATTCTACCAATTACCAATAAAAAACTTAACCACTTAAAACATTTGTGTGATTTATTACAAAAAAGAAAGGGAGCCCGTATATTATAGACCACGACATATGAAAATTCAATATACTAAATCATGATAGGTTCTTATGTACATATAAGTTTTTAAAAACATTTCATCAATAGGCAACAGTCTCGATCACTTTGTGCAATTCGTTACATCATAAAGGCACTTCATAACGATAATAAAATGATATATAAAATATATAGTATAATAGATTTAGTAAAAATATCTCGCTTAGCACCTAATTCATTAGGTTACAACCACAAAGTACACAGATAAGATCCTTTTAGAAAAGTATGTAGCATTTTATTTCTTACAAACTAATAACAATGTACTTCTCGACGTACGCGTAATAATATTTTATATAATTTGGACCACTGAAAAACCATAGAGTTACCCGGAATGTTTCAATCTAGTACAGGAATGTGACTTTAATGTCTCTATGGTTATTTAAATGGTTGAAACCGCTCTTTTTTGGCAGGAAATATACGTTCACGATTAACCATAAATGCCTTGATTGTCATACATGTTTAATGTAGTCTTGTTTGTTTATGGCAGATAACATATAGCTAATGTACTTAATGGCAATTTGTAGACGCATGTGATGTTTTTAGTCGGTTGATGTTGATTAAAGAGCAGTAATATTGTACCCATAAGGGGTGTTTTTAAGCTTTGAGAACGGCCTTGGCGGCGGCGACGATGTGAGGAGCGGAGAGCCCGTACTTGTCAAGCAGGGCAGTAGGGGGCCCAGAGCGTGGTACTTCGCGCACGTAGATGTGCTTAACGACGATATCTCGCTCAAGAGCCACAGCTGATAGCACCGCTTCGCCAACGCCACCTAAGTACATTAATAGTTATAGTTATACTTACATACATTTTAAGGCTGTCTTAAAAAAATATTCACGCACAGACTTGCAAAAGCCACTCTGCGATCTACAAATACCATATAAATGTATGGGAGCGTTACCGTTAACGGATATAACTGTTGGCAACACAAAAATTGTCATAAATTGTTATGTTAACTGTAGTAACCGGAGCACTTCTTCGAATCCGTGTACCGTGTAATGTATGTGTATATTAAACTATTTAAAGCAGTACAAAACAGCTTGTTTAAATTCATCAGCAAATACAGTCTACGCTCCTAACAATTACTAGTCGTATATTTAAAAAGTTATTGATGTCGTTTCATTCATTAGGTAACGTATTTTCGATATCAGTTTAAAAATATGTAATATCTCTAATATTTACGGATAATCGCCTGGGCACACTTAACGATTACACCTGTATATGGTAAAATATAGAACTGAAACTTGTAAAACTAAACAGCACAAATCCTATATTGTCATTTGGCAAAATATTTTATTTCATTAAAAGGGATTGAAAACAACGTATTCCTTTGAACTGCAAAAATAGGTCCTCACATGTTTCCCTAATGTATAACAATGAAATGTGTGGATAGAATGAACTTAATGCGACACTTAAAGCACTATGTACCCAATTTGGTCAGGGAGGACTTAATAACGAACAAGTTCGCGATTTGTACAAAAACGTTTGAGTCGAAATTCTTTTAGGAGCTATTTACTAAACACAGAGTTCAGTCGATAATAATTAATTAGATACTACTTACACTTATAATTTGAAACCTCTGCATAAATCAAATTAAAACAACAATAGCTTACCAGCTTGGTAATGGTCTTCAACAACGACAACTCTGCCTTGCACGGCACGAGCATGCTTCAGGATAGCGGCTTCATCGAGAGGCTTAATGGTGAAAGGATCCAGCACCCTTGCATCAATACCTATAAATTAAAAAAGGTATTTTAAATTCATAACATTTTTAGTTCTAGTATTTTCATTTTGAAGAGGTTATCATTTGTTCTGAATGTTATCATTTAATGTAATTATAATGATACGTTGTGTAGTACCACTCTCCGCAACAATGTCACCAAGTACATTTCTAGGTCGTCTGCATTCGACCTTGACCAGGCGCCTAAGCATGGCAAACCATTCTCTATATTTTAAGTTGTAAGTTCACTCCAAACATAGAGAATGGTTTGTTGGTCAGAGTAACAATACTTCGTAAAGTCTCGTGTGGACTCATAAATTTATAAGATTTATCACATTCAGGAAGCAGGTAACTGGTTTGCACTGTCCTATGTTCAATTTTCCATCATATCGTAGCTTTCGTAATTAATCTAAACTTAGTATAGTAGAAGCCACATCATATAACCTATAAATAACCTTTCCTACCTATTAACCGCATAAAGTGTACTATATAATACACAAACAAAAGTCAGGATTTAAGTGTATTCACAGTTTCTAGAAACTACCAGTAACATTCATGCAGCGGGTGACCTATTATTACCATGCAGTACGATTTTTGTTTGTGGGTTAACAAAATCATTTTCTAATTAGTTCTATCATAAAAACATGAAAAAACTTGTATTACCCTGCAAAAACTTTGCTTATGTGGTCAGAACAATTAAAGGTTGAAATTTGCGTATCATCAAGGAAACATCAAATTTTCGGGTTTGTTTAAATACAAAAAGGGAACATTATACTTCAAATCAATAGTATACTCGTATTACAACTAAAATTCTACAAATTGATAACAAAGAACCTAGAAATGTGTACTTTTACGAGGTTATGTAAATACCACTATGTTATAACCACAAAAGCAACATTTCTAGGGTACGGCTACTATTTTCCATATACTTCCTGCTCAATTAAACGAAACAAATACTGTCAAACCAGAAACACCTTTTTGAAAATATAGTGTTATAATTTTGATCGCCATACCTTCTGTTTTCAACTTGTCAGCGGCAGTGAGCGCTTCGTGCAATGTGACACCAGCGCCAATCAACAACACCTTATCTTTAGGCGACTCACGGACGATTTTCGCTTGTCCGACCTAAAAAAAATTAGTATATACATCTCTAAATAGATCACAAAGACGGTATAAACGTTGCTGCCCATCTCGTAGATTTACGTTTTTATCTAAACTGCCATGGAACCGGAGTATTTGATGAAGCAAGCATTAAGGAAAATGTATAAAGACGGCAATGAACAAATCTAATTCTACGTAAATACTCGTAATCGGCAAGTACCTTGAAGATTTCGTCATTAGGATATAGTATGGCAGTGTTCGGCCGAGAAGTACGGATGTAGCAAATGCCCTTGGTGTTAGCAGCCAACTCTACTGCACGTTCCGTTGACGGCGCGTCGCTGCAAATTCATGAGTTTAATTACAACTAAACATTATCCACTAAAACTATTTAAAAAAACATATTGTACTGCATGTTATATAAATTAAAAGTGTGAATAACTGTATACATATATTATGTATATAAATAATTAACTGTGTTGTTTGACTGTTGCATATTATGGCAACCTTTAATAAAGTCAACACTTTAGCACTACTCCATTTGATTGCATGATCAAAATTGTAAGTATTAAACACTTACATAAAATAAATAAAATTTAAGTATTATATATACTTACTTAAGAAGTCATACACATGACTTCTTAGTTTTCCGAAATAAATAAAAAATCAAATGATTACAGGGTTATTTGTAAAACACTAACAAACACGCAAAACTATATTACTAACATCATAAACAACCTTTGTTCCATAACTTTTCATAATTCATCAGATTTTAATTTCGTTCAAAAATAAAATAGTAAACGGTGATAACTCTGTGCTGTAACAAAAGAAAGCGCTAGCGTTGAATACCAGTCCGATGTAAAATGCAAGAGCCGTAGATTGGGGTGAGAGACGTCGATGAGGACGCTTGCATGTTTGAACTCACCTCTACTTTGAACATTACTGCGTTCTGGTTTTGAGAGACAAGAGTAATGATGAAACTTAAGACACATGAGACTTGTCAACTCGGAGTGACGGATCCTGTGGGAATCCCGTCAGATCTTTGCGATTTAAGCTCTGAGTGGCACTGCGACTTTAAAGAAAGTTTGAAGTTTTATTTCTGGAAAATGTCATTTCGAACTACTGATAGATAACCCATAATAGTGCATTGTATTTTAACGGCGGCAAATAAGGAATTACGAACGAGACTCTATTAGAAGCCCGAAGTCGAAGAGAGAGGGCATTCGGAGTCGACGTTCGTAATTCCCGTACCGCCCGTGAAACATACAATGCTTTTCATCACACCTGCACGTAAAATGCTACGATTGCAAGCAGGCTAACTTGACTAAATTGCCACAAATAAAACCCTCGAGCCTTTTTTCTTCTCATTACACCGACCATGTAATGAAATATGTGATGAAAAAACTTTACACTACACCGTGCGGTTGGAACAGTATCACGGTCTTAATGCATGTCTCGAGCACTTCACCGGACTCCAATCACGGTAATCCGAGCCGCAAGTGAGTGTTGGTCGAACTATTCTTATAAAATGTGTGTATGGTATTCATTGCCTTTGCCGAAGTTTGGCTCGGGTCCGGCACAGTGAATCATCTTTTGATCTTTCTCCTTATCAACTAATTTTCGTACATGGGTTTTTTAACAATGACGTTGTTCTACGTGAATGAATTTGCTTTTGTGCTCTTTTTTATTAATGGTTAAAATAAGTGCGCATTTGATTGATGGAAAGTGACAATGAGGCCGGGGATGGAGCATGCACACCCATATGTATAATAACATTATGCCAAAAATTAACAGACAACATAAATAAATATCTTCGCTGGATTTTAATGTAATAAAATGACAACGTTATTATAATGGATTTTTTAATAATAATTATAGATACTTCACTAGAACTTATTAACGGTTCTACAAAACATATTTTTAGCTAGAGTATACTAGCGGCACACATTATTCCGTGTTGCATTGAGCATCTAGTTAAAAAGCTAATTCATAGATGGAATCCTAATAAAAAGGGTTGTAGTATATATATATATATCTACTATTTCACCAACACGTTTTCTTATGCATACGACTTGTCGTCATACAAAAGAGACCTATTTTTAAATAACCTGCTTTGTAAACAATATCTCTACAAGCATATTAGTAGCGCTACAGAAGGAAGTAAATTTTGGCAGTATGGTTAACAGACTTCCTTGTTAAACTTTATGAAAGTTTTTGTATACTACATTTGGCTTCAAATGGAAAAATATGTATATATAATGAAATATTATAATTTGCTATAAACTTACGAAGGATAGAAAACTGTGGCGGTGGGCACAGCGCGAAACAGGGCCAAGTCTTCGAGACCCATCTGGGAGGGTCCGTCCTCGCCGATGCTGACACCGCAGTGCGATCCGGCTAAGTTGATGTTCGACTGGCTGATGGCGCCCATACGGATCTAAAGCCACACCAATAACAGTCCAACATCGCTACCCGTATATATAATCCTATGAATACATGTCATACCCCATTCGCGTTACGAACACGGTACTAAATGGGGTAAGTCATCGAATTTAAGATTATTTATTTATTTTTGTAGAAAACAAAACAGTTAACATTAAAATTGCTTTGATAAAAGTTAACACGTTCACAATCCATGAATCGCAAACCTGGGACCTTACCATGAACTCTTTTTACATTTCAGTATAGGTTCGTAACGACAAATAAGCGGGATGGTGAATATACACTTCATGTAGCGCTGTCTCACAACGATTCATTTTAGGTTCTAAACTGAACGTAATAAGAGTTCATGGTAACGGCCCTGGGGTCGCACATTGACTTCAACCACAAGTCCACGCATACCTATGGAGTCGCAACTACATACTACTTTATTTATACTTTTAAACTTTCGCGTTGCATTGTACGAAATTAATAAATTAACGCGTTTACATACGAAAAAGTATTTTTCACATCTACCTAGTTTCCGCCAGGTTTCGGAGCCCTACCTTGGTTCCGACGTTTCGGCCAGGTTGCACTGCCCGTGGTCACGGGCTGACTGCCAGTTGGGCCAATGCAACCTGGCCGAAACGTCAAGAAAGTAGGTAGGTGTGAAAAATAACCATTCATATGTAAACGCGTTTAATCCCGTTCCCAAATGTTTCTACTTTTTTGTCAAATATTTTGGTTGGACTTATAGATTAAAGTCCTGTATTTTTTATTTATTTGTCTTTTATAGGTGTGGTTTTTCAAAATTAACAAAATAATTTGGATATACTTCATACATACAATGTGAGAGTAAGTCATGATCTCAGTACAGAATACCAAAAATACCGACCTCAAAAGTACGTGGAATTACATATAATTACCAAGTTTTATGGAAATCGGTTACCGAAAAGTGCGTAAGCTGGGATTCATCCCCTATTTCGCCACTGTAATGGGACTTAACACAGGAGATAAAAAAAAATCGATTCTCACTACTCAAGATTTATTGAGAGGAAACGCCTTGAATTGGAGGATAGCAAAATCAACCATTAAAATAATTGTTCCTTATAATAAAATTTTGAGCGCTATTTATAAAAATGAATCTTCATGCATGAACTGCCACCCTTAGAGGTGGATGATTTTCTTCAAAATTAAATGGTACCACTGTGGAGGTACTCTCTTTCCAACAAAACAATAATCGTGAAAATCGGTTCACAAATACCGGAGTCATCGCGTAACATACATACAAAAAAAAATAAAACAGTCGAAATAAGAACCTCCTCCTTTTTTGAAATCGGTTAAAAACCAACAACATTTCACACAAACTCTGGTGGACTTGCGGGGTTGATTTCGGCCTTTTTATGGGGGAATGTGTGTTTAGTATTAAAGTTACAATTTTTAAATTTAAAGCACTGTTTACCTGATCAAAAGTTCTGGTAAAGAAGGCAGCGAATGTGGAGGCGAAAACGACAGCGCGATCACGACACGCGGCTCCGGTCGCCACTCCGACCAAATTCTGCTCCGCAATGAAACACTCGATGTATCTGGCAGAATTGATAACTTATATAAAAAAGAAAACCGACCTCAAATATTCATGGAGTAATTCCATTCCATCTGTTTGCCAAGTTTTAATGAAATTGGTTACCGGAAAGTGCGCGAAACCGGATCCCCTAGTTGGGTGGCAAACTGAAGTAGAGGTGGAATATTTTTTTCAAATTCAAATTTAAATGGCTTTTACTTTCAAATTTCAGCTTTCTAATTTTTGTCATTTCAGCACAAACGAGAGTTGATATTTAAAAGTGATATAAGGCCCATTTGCCTGAAAGTTGCCCACTGGAAAGTTCATCCCTATGGATGGTCCTTACTTCGTCACTATTTCTGGTTGTATACTCGATGGATACAACTAAAAATTTAATTGAATTAGTTTGTCGTACTTGAGAGATAAAATACAGTTGTACACAAACCTGTCTGGGTATGCATTGCGAAGTTTGTCGCTGAAGGTAGAGTTCTTCGTATCGCCATCAAGAGCAATCACACTGCAATAAAAAGTCCATGTAATTCGCTCTGTAATTGCTACAAATAACAACAACTTTATCACTTCTTGAAAATGTGTATGAGTGTTACTGCCCACGTCGACTGACAGCAGTCGTGTGAGTACGACAAACATTTTACTCTAGCATAAGCCTTTGAAATGCATAAATTGTTATACATTTCTTTAAAAGGCTTGTGCGTAATTCACTAATTCAAAAGGTCGCTGAAGCTGGCTCAAGTACTGTAAACGTGTGTGCAATTAATATATTACTCAGTGTTTCTTAATATTCAATTGCTGAATATTTTGAAAGTAGAGAGTAGGTATTCTTACCGCAAATTGGTGTCGGCGATCTTTTTAAGAGCAGTTCCATAGGCGAAACGGGTGGCAATCAAATCGTCTGTTTTGTAAGCGGGTGGCGACGACAACGTTATGTCTCCAATGTGTACTTTCGGTGCTTCAGCCAGTGGTGGTTTAGGTTTCAGACTAACCGTGTTATTTTTTATGAGCGCTTGCAGATGCTATAAATAAAATAATCAATTATATATCTTTTGTACATTAAACACGGATTAACATTATAATTTACATTAATTTGATACTACTAAGCGTATACACTTTTGTTCGAACATCGCCTCCAGTGCAATGGAATCTGGGGACCTACGTCCGTTCTCCATCCGACATCCGTCCGAAACAATTACTATCAAATAAGTAATACTCGACCAAATTAAAAAAACGCATGATGCGAATGAAGCTTTATACTTGACATTGGATTTGGTCGAATATAATTATTATGTGTTGTCTGTACATATCTGCCGTCGACTAACTAAGACACGGTTAGATGACAAATTTTTTTTTTCAGATGTCATAAAAAACTAATCTAGTTTTGGAAATATTTAAATTGTATAATGATATTTCAGCTATGCTATATAGGGTATGTTCCGATAAGTCGAACACGTTAACTAATTGTAACTCTTTTTCTATTTAAAACGGATATTTGACCATTTGTCACTGAACGGCAGATATACAGAAGGTACAAAATAGTTCACGGAATAAATTGCTGCAATGCGAGACAGCGACTTGACAAACCTTAATTATCTTCTCTCCGTCAGCGCCGAGGGCCTTTCCATGCCAATTCTCTTGATCTTCAATCCCGGGGAAGCCCTTGCCCTTGAATGTTTTGGCTACAATAGCCGTAGGCTTGCCAGATACCGTCGCGGCTTCGTCGAATGCTTTCACCAACTCCGACACATCATGCCCGTCTACAACCAGCGAGTGCAAACCGAAAGATTGAAGGCGAGCATTGTATACGTCCAACTATGAAGAAAATAAAAAACTGTACAAGATATAACATAAGGGCTTTATATTATTTTAAAAACAGAATTTTATTTAATATCATACAATTATATGAACGGCAATGGAATTGCATTGGTGCTGTTACCTGATGTTGCAGAGACGTAGGCTCCGATTGACCGAGGCGGTTGATGTCGAAGATCACGACAAGATTGTCGAGTTTATAATGACTAGCAAAGTGCAGAGATTCCCAGATGCTGCCCTCCGCGGCTTCGCCGTCACCAACGAGACAGTATACTCTGAACAAAGAGTGGAATGAATGAAATGGAACAAAGCTTACATTATAGTCAATGAGTCATCTGTATGGTTGTTGTGTATTTTTGTCAACTTAATGATATGCAATTTAAAAAAGAAAATCAGCCACACAAGTAAGTCTAGTGGAACTATTTAATTTAATTTAATCGAAACGTTCGTCACGTCACCTACATTGTGATTAAAAAAAATCCAAGCTTTACCTATACGGGGCCTGGTCGAAGTATTTTCCCACGTAGGCCATGCCGGCGGCGACAGCTAGACCTTGTCCCAAAGAACCAGTTCCGACATCAACGAAATTTAGGCGTGGTGTGGGGTGGCCTTCCAAGTCGGAATCCAGTTTCCGAAGGTTTTTCAAGTCATCTACAGGGAATAACCCTGCTTCCGCCCATGCCGCGTATAGGATAGGAGCAGCGTGACCCTGCGGAATTACAAGGCTATAGAGAATGCGCATTGATTATTTTGCTTTCAAATTGTTATTTAAAATATTATTTACATGATTAGCTCAATTCAATTTAATTGAAGTGGCAGGGAAAAGTTCAACGTTTTTCGATGATACATTATAGTTATTAATACAAAGATCGAACACTTACAAAAATTTCCTTCTATCCGGCCGGATTCGAACCGACGTTTTCTAGCGAACCGCGCCGGATCAAAAGAATTTTTTCTAAGTGTTCGTAACAAACTAGTGCAGTAATTTCATAAAAAAATAAATGAATATCAATTCAATAAAAAATTGATACATTATAGCTTACATTTTCTACTATTATAATCATTGACTTACAATTATTACAATGTAGAAATTTTTTGTACCTACTTTAGAAAATTCTAATCACACACCAATACCACATTTCATTGACATCAGCGTTTATTACATGCTTTTCAAACGAAATAGATTCCTAAAATTTACTTATTTAATTACTTAGGCAAGTTGCATTAAATAAAATACATTTTTTAGTTTTACAAAATACCTTGGAAAGAATGAATCTGTCAGCCGAGGCATCCCTGGGTGCGGAGATCTTATAGCGCATGGTGTGGAAAAAGAGTACAGACATGATCTCTGCCATTGACGCGCATGATGTAGGATGACTGTCATGATAAAAAAATATTAATGCAATAAGAAGCAACAACTAACTAATCACTACATTAAAAGGAATGGTTAATGTTAAATTAATGGTAAATGTTTGATAACAATATATTTTCCTTAAATTACAAACTCATATATAGTAATAAGATCATTACTTGTAACTAATTATAATAGTACTGGACAGTGTGAGAATGATCATAGTTTTATGAAAAGGGCACCTAAAGACTTTTGTGATTTTTGATAATTTGTTCTAAAAACTTGTGCTGTTGTGCACATTGTTGTTGGGGAATTATAATAATAAATTATAGCAATTCATCGTTCCTGAGGTGGTAACAGCAAAAATTTTCATTTTACAAGTCAATTTTAGAATAAACTATCAAAAACAATGAAAAAATCTTTAGGTGCTATTTTTGCAAAACTACGATCATGTTGGTTTATACGTTATTGCTTATCAGCATCTAGTTACAGTATTATGTATCCACCAAGAGGAAAAAAGCAAAGAAAAAGAATTTCATGGTAATTAGTAAACTGTACTGTTTTTCCTACAGCAGTTTTGTGATGGGAATTGAAGTGTTACTTCAAAACATAATATGAGATTTACTTTTTAGTCAACATTTTCGTAGATACGTAAAGAATGGTAAACAAATTTTTTTGAAATTTGGGCATAAGGCAAACAGTGATGTAAATAGGACCAGAGTTTAGGGCTCAATATAGTGATTATATTTTTATTTATCTTAAAGGAAGATCAATAGCTTAAAACTAACTTATATATAATAATACACACTCAACATAGCCCCGCTCTAGAGAAACTATGTGTCGCGGGTGCCATGGACACACACATAGACAACCATAAATTACACCCAAACTCACGACAGAAATAAATGCAGGCCATACGAATATTCCCCCAGCCCGGGAATCGAACCTGGAACCTCTGCGTGGCAGTCCGACATGGCAATGACCATTTGGCCACAGAGGCAGTCAAATGACATGAGCATGTGTTCTTATTACTTGCTTTAATAACCTATATCTCAACACTGGCAACTTTGAGACTAAGACTTGATTTCATTTTAATTTTTAAGGTCTGTTGAATTAACGCTCATTTTGACTCTTCATTCTTTCTACAATAAGTCACTAAGTTGTATTGTGTGATTAGTAAATATTTTAATATCGTACACAATCACACTGTTAAATGTATACGAATAAATTAAGATTTGTAACAAAAATAATAAGCATTTAATGCAATCAGTCATGAGGTCGGTGTACAGTTGATACCACCAGGTCAAGGTTAAGAAATAAAGTCAATTTAAGGTTATTGTAAACCATGGCTTTAAGTGATAGGGGTGACCTTTTAAATTAACATAACGGCTGTTACTATTACAGCTTGCCATAAGACAACAGAATAAGAATTAACATTCTTATTATAAATAATGTATTACATTATAAATAATGTATTATTACAATGATAAGTAACATATTCCAATATATTGAATACCCTGTGTAGGTTTCAATTACTTTTTCATATTATATTTAATTGACTTTTTATGCTCTGTGCCATTAGTGAAAAACCCAAACCTTTTCCACTAATATCAGTCCCTGGCAATACACTTTTCCAGTGTTGGTTTTATCTATTGCTTTTTTCACCTATAAGATACAATTATTCCTACTAAGCATTGTACACAGGAGTCAGTCCGAATACAATGGTCTAATGCCATTTATTATAAAAATTTTGACTGATACAACTGTACAATATTTAAAATAATGGTTCATGTTTGTAAGGTACAAATTTTCAAGTCTCACCTCACACAGTTACTAGCTTTGTTACAGGTTTTTTATTTATGATACTAAGTGATGCGACGAACAAGCTGTGCGCCTGATGGTAAGCGACCAGTGCATAACAGTTGCAGTGCCATTTAAAAGATTTTAATCTCAAAGATCTGGCAGGCACTGCCACTGCACCTCTCACCCTGAGACAAGTTGTTAAAAAGTCTCATTTGCCTGTAATTTCACCTTATAAGAGCAGCAGAAGTATTCATACTTTTTAAACTGTACAAACTTATAAAATTATTACAAGACAAGGATAATCTTCATCACAAAGATACAAGTAATATTGTAGTAGAGTTATGCCTGCTTGGACTTACAGTGAGCAATCCAATATAATTCTATCAGTCAACTCAACTATTAAGGTCTTTTTTTACATACTTTTAAAATTAATGTGTCTGCCAAATTTTACATAATGTATGTATACAAAACTCGAATAGAATAATTTACTAGTGCTGTGTATTAGAGTCCTAAGTGAGCTGGCAATATTCAGTCGAACTTGTACTAAAAGCAATGAACAATTACTAATTGAATAGTTCACATCATTGCCTCACATCAGTAGCTCTCCACAATGCAGGCAGTTCTTACTGAACTAAAAGGTAGGTGAAGGATTACGCAAATGAAACAGAAAGTAGTTCCTTTTGATTCAGTGTCAGGAATTCATTCTTATAATTTCCCAGTAAGTGAACTCAAGCCTATAGTGAAGATATATTCTTCAATATTTCTATTCAATGTTGCTTCTTATAAAGAGATATCACTAAGTGAATGTACATAGCTGACATTATAACGAGTATAACCTTCAAAGCATAGAACAATTATTGTAAGTTAATGAATAACTATCAAGTTCGTCTAAGTATAAAATTGAGCCATAAAATTTTCAAGGTAGATGCAATATTCAACTAACATGCTATGATTACCAACAGCTACATCGAAAACTAAAACGTACCTACAGTTATATAATATACTCAATTGTAGTTCGTAACCATGCGGTCATTGATTATCAGTTCAAGGGATACGGCATGGGGAAAGCATGCTTCATAAAAGCACATGACACGTAATACTTATCGACTCCCTTCTGTAGTGATATCATTTTACAAGAATAATAAATAACTAAAACATAACCAAACACGATTTTTACCCTTCATTAGACCTTCAAATAAGCGGCAAGAAGTGTATAGGTTAGAAATACCTACTTACCCGGATTTGGATGCATTTGTAGCTACAATACTGTCTATCCTTAACTTATTGGCGATATCTTTTAGAGCCTGGACGTCTACATTCTTGTCGCCTTTCATTTTAAGTAGTTTTTGTGATTTAGTTTAAGGAAACACGTTCACGAGACGACCGGTCAGTAACCTCCCGCGCTATTCAATGACAGATGGATCACAGGTTGAAACGAAATGTATTTATTAGACATGGCAAAAACGGCTGTTTGTCAATAATAAATTATACTGTTATGCGATTTTTCAATAACTGTTATTGTAAGCCGTTGTCAGAAAACGTGTTATTTTGCTGTTTTGTAGGTTTTTCTTAGTATTAATGGCTTTGCATTCGCATTTAGCCAATGAAAGAGTTGATTATGGAAGAGGTGCACAGTCAAGCTCGACACTTAAGGTTTAAACCCAACTCTGGTATATGATATGATATTATGGTAGGTTGGGTAGGTCGGTAGCTATTATAAATCGGCATACATATCAAAGCTTGATATTATTATTTTCTAAATTAAGAAATTTCTTAAGAAATTTGACCTATGGAATAAATAAATTTTTTGGCTTTGACTTTGCACTGAAAGATTATCGTAAGATTTGCAAATCGTAGTATCGTCCAATAATTAGAGCAGTGTCATTTCTCTCTCATAGCTATTGGCTATTACATACTCGTCAGTTCCCACGACGCAGTCGCTACAGCAAAATAGCATTATAGATAACAGCAGTCTAGATAGTTGTTCGATAATGAGTTATTCATTTGCATTACATTATCCGCTATAGTATTAATGTAAAAATGTTTATATATTTTTTAATAAATAAATGCATTTTACGGCTCCGGCTGCTTTGTGTAATGAGCTAGGGAATAGAAAAAAAAGTCTTCAGTACGTACCTAAGAGTATAATGAGTTTAGTAAAAATATAATCATGGGCTCAACTCACACTAGCGCAGAGTCCTGTTTTTCAACTACACCGCGACCGCATACGACGTAACAAGCTTATTTCAGTTACAGCTTCTGACAACGCTATATATTCAGCAAACGTGGAAGACTTTGTCACAACAATTTATTTCTTTGACTTCCCGTACACAGCCTTACCAAATAATCGAATCACAAAACCAGTAGTAGACTTACGGTCTACGATATTATTATCTCCGGCCCAATTGGCATCTACGTAACAATCCATTATATTAGCCTTTAAATTCCGATAATAAATGAGCTTGAGACTTTTTGTCAAGTATACATATTTTAAAACACGTAATGCATATTTAAAATGAATCTCACCATAGCAATACTGAAACCTGCTCAAGTAATTGACACAAAAGGCAACGTCTGGTCGAGTGCCAGAACTAATATATAACAGAGCTCCTACCAAGTTCCTGTATTTAACATCTTCATTAAATTCACATTTCTCAAGTTTGGCATTAATCTCCATGGGCGTTTTAAACAATTTACAATTCTCAATTTTATATATTTTTTTGGCTAACGGATTAATGTACTTTTTCTGGCTTAAAGTTAAAATATTAGCTTTCGCATAATATACTCCACATCAATACATATGTAGTTAATAACCTTTCCCATGTCCTTCATTCTAAAATGGTTATTTAATTTATTTTTAATTGTAGCAACCATTTGCCCATCTTTGCATGCAATCAATAAGTCGTCGACTTATACTAAAATGTACACAGTTTGTTTATCGTCTGCTTTGACATGAAGACCATAGTTATATTTACTCCTTTGAAAGACAATAGTTGTTACAAAACCATTAAAGCATTCGTAACAAGCACGTGGGTTTTCTTTTAAGCCATAAAGAGATTTATACAGTTGATACACTTTGTCAGTACCGTCGTCATAACCAAGAGGCTTAAACAGCCTCAACATACATTTCTGACAACACTTTACCGTAAAAAAAATGCAGTCTCTACATCCATTTGATGCACAGTACGATAAAAGTAGTTTCAAAGTTTGTATCTTAGCAACAGGTAAATACGTATCATCAACATTGGTGGTTTGTTGAAAACCTCTAACCACTAACCTGGCTTTATAAAGATCAGCCGATTTCTTCTTGTACACTCATTTCACATCTAGTAAGTACCTCTTTTTCCCGTGGTTCATTTACTACAGTCCAAGTATTATTTTTGACTAGGCTGTTCATCTCACGGTCCATAGCCTCTTTCCATTGTTCAGCGTCGTCACATGTAGTCGCCTCCTGAAAAGTATCTGGCACCATCGCGTCACAATAATTACCGGTTATACAGTAGTAGCCAAATTCTTCATCAAATCGATGTGGCGCTTTAATTTGTCTCTTAGAAGTTCTCTTCTCATTATTCATTATCAC